AAGGCTTCTGTGAGTGAGCAGCAGTGGGAAAGGGCAAGCATAGCTGCTCTCTGTGCTTCTCTCCTTTCTTACATACTTAAGTGGTATCCTCAGGCAGAGCTATAAACCTGTCGGATATAAATAACAGAGATAAGCCCACATTGTGGTAGTCAGCTATTAGTACTTAACTCTGCACTTTTTACAAAGTTGTTGAATTCTGGGAATTCAGCTTTTAATATGTTGTTTAAGCCATGTTTATAAAAGGTTAGCAGAAGGCAAAGGATTAGTTGCTAATATTGCCTGTGATCTCCTGGCAGGTGATATTTTACCAAGGACAAACTTACTATTTTTGGTTCCAAAGTGTATCTGTGTGTGGGGGTGGCCATCTTAGTAGACATAACTTTGCTTCCCCTGGTTAACTGGTTATCTGCTGACTGGCGGAGTAATGAACAAAAAGCAGCACAAGAGGTTGAGAAAGTACAGATCTACAGAATGAATTAAGCAGAACCAGAGCAATGATTTTACCACAAGTCTACAGATACAGCTTCCTCTTCAACAGACCCTCAGAAGAGCAATGAGAAGCACAGTGACATCTTCAAATGACTTCAACTCTAATGAAAATAATTATCATCCGAGACGGTTGTTTGCAGGATGTGGCTTAGCTGACCCCCACTGCAAAAATGCAACTATGAAGCTACAAGAACCACCAAAAAGTAGACTTTTCAATGGACCTGCTTTGTAACAATTAACCTTTCTAGGTGCTTCTTATAAGATAGCAAATATTCTTTTTTTTAAATATACATTCACTTTAACAATGTGCCATGCTTACCCCTAACACAGGTGGTTAGGCGCAATAGCTGGCTTCTGTGTTCTTCACCTATAGCAGCCCCCTTTCCCATAGCAGGGCTCATGGTACTCAGTTTCCCCCAGGACTTATACACAATGCTATAGTGCCTGGCCACCATGCCAGAGCAGGGCGCAAACTGAGCACAGCACACAGGTACTTGTGGTTGGCAGACAGGAAGAGTGGATCAATGACAGTCCAGGTACAAGGTAGGCAAGATTTAGAGTAGTCAGGGTTAAATTCATAGTCAAATGGCAGGCAGAGTTCAGAGAGTAGTTATCTGATCTGAGGTCGTCAATGAGAGAATCCAAACTGGCAAAGCAGGGCAAAGAAACAGGAAGCATGCATTGCATTTTACAAACACAATATCATAAGCATGAGACTGCAGGCTTGGCTGGCTTAAATCAGGTTTGGCCCAGAGACTGGGCACATCAATCACCTTGCAGGTGGGCAGACAGACAGGGAGAATATACCACAACCAAAACCAGGATGCTGGAAGGAGACCTTCAGCTATGATGGAACAGAAGTACTACACACTCCTGACACAATGCCACAAGAAAGATATATGGGGGCAATTCACTAAGATACACAAGTTATTTTAAGCACCTTTACTTGCAAGTATATTACCTCAAGATCATTTTTTTTTTCATGAAAATGTTCAATTCACCAACATAAGTATGCACTTTTTCTCATGAAATGTATACTTGTCTTTATGAGGCTGATTTATCGAAGAAGTAGAGGATTTGCTTTTTATATGATTTGTCTAATTGAAGTGAATCCTTACTTTATTTTCATGTCTAAACATTCTCAAGTCCTTTAGCCCATGTTCCATAAATCAGATTTTTATCTTGGAGGTACACTTTAAAGCTTGCAATGCATGTGGAAAAGAATTTGTTAATGGATCCTATGACATTCAGTAGCAGTTGGCAGATGTCTACCTTCAAGCAAGTGGCAGTAAAACGATTACCTCCAAGCAACTGGCAATGCAACATCTGCCTGTCCATCCTTGCATCCCAGGAGCATCAGGTTTTGCTCTCTGAGTACACTGGTGACAGAAGTTATGTACACAAGGTGTCTTGCTTTGAAAGACTGGCACACAAACAGAACTCAATTATCTCACCTCTGTAAGAACTTGCATGAGTTACAACACATCAATGTTGAATTTCTCTTATCAGGCTGTGGGTAATATATTGTATGTATGTATATATATATATATGTATATCTAGATATATACATAGTATATATCAGTGCTATTTGAGCGCAACAAAATTGTATTCAATTGTTAATTTTATGCTGCAAATATAGAATTAATAATCTGATGCAGGAAGCATCCTTCAGCCATTTAGTGTATTTTACTATATAAACTACGACTTAAAAAAAGAGATAAGGAAAAATACCACGTCCTCTTTTTTCCAGCATTTTCTTCTATTTTTGTGTACACTGCACTATGCAAGCATCATGCAGTATATACTACTACCGGGTTATTTCCATCATTTATCAGTTGAAAACAGTGGATTCTGGTGTTCGGGGTATTATAGTTGCTGTGCACATGCACAGGAGTTGCATCATCAGTGGCCATCCGGTGACCAAAGAGGAGGGATGTGGAGGCCAGAAGAAGCAGCAGAAGGTTTGCTTCACCCCCCATAGATCCCCAAGATATATTTACAGGAGCCAAAGGAGAAACACTGTTCATTCAAGTATGGAGGAACATTTGAGTCACTCAATGTAACAGCAATGTGCGAAGGGAAGCAAAAGAAATTTAAGTAGATAACCTCTACTTGGGCAAAGCAGAAATTCAGTTAAAAATGAAGCACAGAGGCAGTAGTGCTATTGACTGAGACATCACCATTTAAAGAGTACATAACAATCCTAATTCATGTAGAAATGCCTGAAAAAAAGTAGTTTGAAGGCATAAGAAGGCAGGGAAGCTGGAAGAATGAAGACTGGAGGAAATGATTGATAAAGGAGAATAGCAGGGCGGGGGAGTTGGCAGCTGTAAAACCAGCAAAATAAAAATGTGAGTGAGTAGCTAAGTAAAGTGGAGTAAATGTAGAGCATGACCAACTGGGTGGATGAAATAGAAGGGCCAAGGGAAGGGGGTGGGGGGCATAAGCCCTTAGCAGCTGCATAAGGGCCCAGTTGGATTCCCGAGTCCAAGTGCAGATTTGCTATAAACCTTAAATTGACCAGATTTAGATAATTGTAATAGTAAAAAATATTTAGTCCTTTTAAGCTTCAGGTCACATCTGTGTGAAATAAGCTCTTACAGTACATTGATAATGGCTTTCATATCATTTAGAGAATATCCATTTTCTTGTGATGTATACCATATATTGAGTATATATTCTCCCAGGGAGAGAGATGCATCTGCTACCAGCAGACATAGACACCTGATTCAATCTTGATATGCCTGAGGGTCTTCCAACACAGGAAGTCATTATTCAGAACGCTCTAGATGCCCTTCAGTAGTGAAAGAGGAAAAAATTAAACAACAACTTTAAGGCGATTTCTCCATCTTGTTCCTTCATCTAATTACAGCCAAGACACCTAAAGGAATCACTTTTTGGAAGAGATTAATCTGTGAGAAAGGAAGATAGGTAGAATCATTTAGAGTGTCAGATTCAATAGTCTGGGGATTACAGGATTCCTTTGTTCCCATCCTGTCTACAAGATATGAGTAGACACCAATTTCCTATAAATGTGGATAGATTGAAAGATAATAAAATGACTTAAAGGGAAATTTCACCTAATGCCGCCGTGCTAGCATCAAACAATGCAGAAGTGGCAAGACTATATGTAATATATATTGGTATTGTTGAATAATGGCTATGTTTTAAAGCTACACTCCAGGCGGTTATTTAACTAACATTATTTACATTTTTCCTGCTAATGACATCATACATACTTCATGACTACACCCAATTTTGAGTGGACAATCATGTATGTAACATATCATGGCAATCAAAGGGATAATAGATGTAATGGCAGTCATAAACTTGTTTTAGGTTTAATCAGTGGCCTTTCAGTCTGTTCTGTCCTCACTACATGTTTCCTTGTGTAACTTGACATGCAACTAAACCCTTCCTTTTTTGCAATAAATCAGACTGAATTCACATCGTTGAAAGAACTTGGCAAAGCCTACTGTGGCTTGATTAGCTGTAATGTGTATTGCTATGATGAAAAAGTGATGTGTAATCATAACTTTTAAGAGTCTCTGGTTTAACCCAGTCCCTGTTTTACTGTTCTGATGTGAAGGCAGAACCTGGAGGATAGTTTGAAGATTCTGGTACCTTGCATGTAAGGTGTTTCTCTTAAGAGGTTTCACTTTCTTAGGAGTCCTCTTGTTTGCAGGTTTGAGGTTTGTTACTGACTTGAACTTGGTTTGTCTCCTTGACATTGTCTTTGTTGATGATTGGCTTGGGGTGCGGATAGACGTAATCTGAAGTGTGTTATAGAGGATCTTCAACCTCTGGAAGGAGCACACTGCTGCATCTACTGTCACTTCACTATCAGGGTATATGGTAATTCTAAGGCCTCTGCTTCAACTATAGCAACTGCCACTTCTTAATCTATGGTAAGCTTCTTTGGATTTGCTTCTAGTAGGGCTTTATGCATGTTGTAGTGCACTCTCTCAGCCTCTAATTGTGCTCTCTCTTCTTTTTATCTGCATTTTTTGCTCAGCGAAGGCTGCATTGGCTTTTGTGGCTTCAGTTTTTGCACAAGCAATAGTGAGTGTATTACCTGTGGATGAGGATCTTGAGGAACCAGAAAATCTGGAGCTCCTTTTAAGTGGAGGTGCCTGATACTGTGATTCTTGTGGAGGTGCTTGACTGTGTAGACTGCTGTGTTGCCATATGCAAGTGGCTGTGCTGACAGTGTAGCAGGCCTCTGTTTAGTCACTGTGTATCCCACTTGCTGGGTAGACTCTGTTTCACTGTTCTGTCCTCCCTACATGTTTCCCTGTGTGTAACTCGACATGCAGGTAAACCCTGCTTTTCTACAATAAGCCAGGCTGAATGTAATCTTTATGAACAAAACAGGGTTGGGGAAACTAAAAAACAGATGAGAAATACATATGTAAGAACATACAGAAAACACAATAAATAGGCTATAGATGGCGATAAGTGATTCTCACCAGCGATGTTGCTTTTAGGGGATGCAAGTCTTAGTCCAACATGTGCTCTGACAGCTGGCTCCTTCTCTCCCAGTTTCTAAGATGGAGTCTAAGCTCCCAAGATACATCTCTTTCCTTTCTCTCAAAATTATGGAAAATGTTATTAACTCCTAACTTTTTATCTAAACAGTTTCCAGCTTCTGTAAAACAGTAAACATATAATTTTATTATTGCAGGCAGGGCAACTTAATGGACCCCCCTACTGCAGGCCCCCTACTGCAGGCAGAACACAATCACAGTTAATATGTCAGGGATTAAGTTCCAGATGATGAATGAGGAGAGTGGTGACTATGAGTCTTAGGGGTTGATTTACTAAATGCCAATACACTGTTCACTTTGCAAGGGAAATTGCTCCGGAGCTTATTGAATGTGGCGAAGATTCAAATAATACCCAATTATTTGTAAGGAAAAATAAAAAAATCTGCATTTTTGCTTCCACATGATTGGATGATGGAAGTCAACAGAGCTTCACTTCAATCACCAAGGATTGCAGCAAATTTCCTTGTAAAATGCAACTTCCCTTGTAAAGTGATTAGCCTATTTAGCTTTAGTAAATCAGTCCTCCCAATGTTCACTGATCTCCTTGTGGCTGCAATGACTGCTTATGAACCCTGAGGTGCTCAAAATTACAAACCTTTAGGTTCAGTATGAGGGTGTTGTCAGTTGTCAGGACAGAAATAGTTTGGTGACCTGTGTATTAAAATAACACTTACAAATACATTACAGCTGAATCCCTTCAGATATAAAAGACACACATGTATCTAGTCACATATTCATTATTTAATAATTTCTAATGCTAGCATCTAAATTTCTACATCATCCTCCTACAATTCCCCTGTACAACATTCATATTGGAATGAGGAGGGGCAGGATTGGGAGCCAATCAGTGAGAAGAAAGATGATTTTATTAGTCTGCTGCTGCTTCTTTACTATCCTAGTAGCAGGCTGGGGGGGGGGGGTGACACTACTGTATCCCTTAAAAGTTCGACTTATGACTACATAGACAGAGATACAAATCCTCTGGCAAGTAATACAGCCCCTGTGAGAATACTATTAATTTGGTGCATGTTATACTGTGTGTTACCATGCATTGATGGGCACCATGCATTGCATTAAGGCGATCCATTCATTTGGCTGCTAACACACCATAATAGATCTAAAATAGAACCTGCACCATTTTATTCACAATGCATAAAAGTTCAACTGCGAACTTCAAACTCAAAGCGAGTCTAAAGGACTCAAACTTGTAAGTTATTGGCCATAAAAGGGGTATGGGGACTGTATCAGTATGAATCAGTAAAAAATTGTTTTTAAAAAGTACCGTTTTTCATTGCTGAAAGTAAAACAAAAAAAATTAAAAAAAAGAAAAATTCCTTTAAATATCATCCCTTAACCGCCTCCCGCCCGCCATATAAGGTAATGACGGGCGCAAGGTGGTTCTCTCATTCTGGGAGGACGTCATATGGCATTCCTCGGAGGGGACATCTACACTGATCATCAGGGCACTGATGATCAGTGTGCCCTGATAATCAGTGTAGCCCCAGTAGTGCCACCTGTCAGTGCCCATCAATGCCAGCTGTCAGTGTCAGTGCCCCCATCAGTGCCTCATCAATGCCACATATCAGTGCCTACTGTGGCACTGCCTTTCAGTGTCACCTATCAATGCCAGTCAGTGCCACCTATCAGTGCTGCCAATCATTGCCACCTATCAGTGCCAGTCAGTGCCAGTTATCAGTGCCAGTCAGTGCTGCCTATCAGTGCCTGTCAGTGCTGTGCCTATCAGTGCCGCCTAACAGTGCCAGTCAGTGCCATCTAACAGTGCCAGTCAGTGCCACCTATCAGTGCCATATATGAGTGCTGCCTTTCAGTGCCCATCACTGATGCCTGTCAATGCCCATCAGTGCTTATCAGTGCCACCTATCAGTGCCCATCAGTGCAGCCTATTAGTGCCCATCACTGCAGCCTCATTAGCGCACATCAGTGAAGGAGAAAAAATCACTTATTTACAAAATTGTATAACAAAAACTAAGAAAAAACTTTTTTTTTTCAAAATTTTCAGTTGTTTTTGGTTTGTTTAGCAAAAATAAAAAACCCAGAGGTGATTAAATACCACCAAAAAAAATCTCTATCTGTCTAAAAAAAATTATAAAAATTTCATATGGGTGCAGTGTTGCATGACTGAGCAATTGTCATTTAAAGTGTGGCAGCACTGAAAGCTGAAAACTGGCCTGGGCAGGAAGGGGGTATAAGTGCCCGGTAGGCAAGTGGTTAAACTACCTGCAACGTTGCACTTCTGTACAATGTATAGAATTAGCTGCAGCAGGACTGACATTTTTTTTTTAACCACTTCCAGTCCGAACACTTACCCCCTTCCTGTCCAGGCCAATTTTCAGCTTTCAGCGCTATCACACTTTGAATGACAATTGCGCGGTCATGCAACACTGTACCCATATGAATTTTTTAGCATTTTTTGAGACAGATAAAGCTTTATTTTGGTGGTATTTATTCACCGCTGGGATTTTTATTTTTTTTGCTATATAAATGAAAAACTCCAAACATTTTGAAAAAAAGTGTTGTTCTTAAAAGATTTTGCAAATAAATAATATTTCATCATAAATCTTGGCCAAAATTTATTCAGTTATATTTTTAGTAAAAAAAAAATAACCCAAATTAGTTTATAACCAAAACTTATAATTTTTAAACATTTTTTTTTACATTTTTAGGTTTTTTTTATATTATTATTTATGTTTTTTTTTTTCTACATACTGTCACCCTAGCAGTACAGTGTCACAATGACTGTACTACTTGTGGTGGGGTGATAAAGATTTTTTTTTTTTTTCCATACTGATTGCTTTTACACCCATAAAGGCTGTAAATGCAATCATTTCTCCTTCTCTTTGGCTACATTCTTGCAGTCATTGAGAACTACCGTGTGAGCTCTGATTGGTCACAGCTTGTCACATGGTACAAAGCTGTTGTGAATAGCCTTGTACCATGTAACCTCTGTGATCATTCACAGATTTCACACGTAGTAAGCAATGATGCCAGAAGTGACATCTTGCTAACTACTCTGCATGTGATCACTGATTGGCCAATCAGTGATCACATGATCGGGACCTCGCACAGAGGTCCCATACAATGATCGGTGTTCCACTGTGTCCGGAGTATACAGTGGGCACCAGATCGCGGTGCTGCACTCTCCCAGGGAGCGCGTACAGTCCATAATAGCGGGTGCCGTTTACGAACGGCAACCCACCCCATTTATAAACAGCGGCCAGACGGCAAGTGGTTAAATTACATTTTTATTACAAGCAAAAAAAAAAAACACAGCATGGGGACCCTCCGTAATCCCTACTAGACCTTTTAGGTCTGGTAGGAAGGTTAAGAGGAACCCCACAGTAATTTTTTTTTTTTAAAGTGCATGAGGTTCCCCCTAAAAACCTTACCAGGCCCTTTAGGTCTGGTAGGACTTTTAAGAGGAACCCCACCTCCCAAAGATGGGGGGGAATAGTGTGTTGGGTTATTCCTAAAAGCCCTGCCAGGCCTTTAAGGCCTTGTAGAACTTTTAGGGGGAACTGCTATATTCCTACCAGACCCTTGATCCAAGCACAGGCCTGGCATGCTAGGAAAGGGGAGGACGAACAAGCACCCCCCCTCCCTGCAGCTTACTAGGCCACATGCCCTTGTCATGGGGACAGTGTCCCTATGCCGTTGGGAAAAGGGCCTCTTTCCCCCCAACAACCCTGGGCTGTGGTTGTGGGGGTCTGCAGGGGGTGACTTATTGGAATCCAGAAGTCCCCTTTAACAAGGGGGCCCCTAGATCCCACCCCCCTTGTGAAGGAGTATGGGGTATGTAGTACCCCTACTCATTCACCAAAAAGTGTAAAAAGGTGAATAAAAACACAACAACAGTTTTAGACAAGTCCTCTGTTAAAAAAAAAAAAGCCAAAAAAATGGTTCCATTGTTGTAATCCATCGTCAATTGCGGTGTCCAGCGTTGTCACAATGACGCCAACTTGCCGAACTAGAAAAAAATTGCCCCCGCAGACCTGTCTGCACCCGCCAAGCTTTCGCTGCAATCTGACATTTGCTAGTTAGATGTAAACATATGCTAGCTCCGCCCAATTGTGCTGTGATTGGCCAAAGCATTGCACCTGACCTGCTTTGCTTTGACCAATCACAATGCATTGTGAGAGCGCAGTGAATTGTGGGGAGCTCGAATAGCCCATTGAACGCCCTTACTGTTCATGTGTTCCCCAAACACACAAACGGCCAATGTTCAATTCAAACTTACGTTTGACTCGAACATCAAGGCCATCACTAATAATTAAAATTATTATGTATAATATAATATAAATTATTTGGTAAAATGTATTAAAACTGTTTACCAAATTCTTAAAATAAAAATGTAAACATTATTTAGGTAAACAAGTGAGTTGTGAAGTTATAATCAAGTTAAATGTCACTTATTGTTGCTGCTAAATTTGACCGGTACACCTAAGCTTCATTGACCTCTGATCATGAAAGGATAACATGATTAATCAACCTTAAAAGAAATGATATTGTGGCTGGAATGTACTGTAAGTTATACTATCTCCTTTCTCAGTCAAAGTTTTACTCTTCACACCTCACCCTTTTAAAGTTTGGCTGAAAAGCTTTTCTCTTCTGGGACACCCACTTTTAGGCCCTTTCACACGGGCAGTTAGATTTCAGCTTTTAGCTGTGGTTAGAGGAACCTATTTACCGCAGTTAGATGCAGACAATGCATTCCTATGGCCCCATTCACACACAGCATTTAGCAACGTTTTCGTTATGTGCGCTTAGAAAAAATAAATTTGACTTTGTCCACGGCCGATTTCTCGCAGCTATCTGTACATAACCGCAGGAAATCGCAGTGCACTATTTCACCTGCAGATAGCAGAGGCAAAAAAGCAAGGAAACCAACAGGAAGCACATCAGAATCACAAGGGGTACTTGGGAATGACACAGGAAGTTGAAGGGAGGATAGAAGCAGAGAGAGAAGCGATGGCGGCCCGTGATATCTCTCATGAGGTCCTTATAGCATTGGTGCACAACCGACCAGAGATATGGGACCCTGAATGCCCAGGATACTCTGACAGAGTCATGAAGAGGCTGAAATGGGAGGATGTGTGCCGATTTCTGACTCCAAACTGGGAAAATATGTCGGCAAGTGAACAGGAGAACCGCGGTGAGTGAATCGATTGGTGTGTGAGGTGCATATACATGGGATCATTTGCCCATAGCAACCATACCTGAAAAATAGAAAATGTATTTTCCTATGGTAATTGTTTGCTATGGTGTCATATGGCTGTTTTAAAGGTCAGCAGCTTCAGTTTTTGTAGCTGCTGATTTTTATTTTTCAGTTTAACTGGAACTCCACTTTAATATTTTCCAATGGAATACATTGCAGGAAAGGAAATTTCTACAAGATGGAGGTCCCTGCGTGACCGCTACAAGAAGGAACTCCATGAAGAGAAGTCTGTAGAGAGAAGTGGAGCACCTTCAACACGCCATCGGCCTAACCCCCATGAAGAGGCCTTGTCATTTTTGAGGCACACTACAGAGCGTGACCGTAAGTTTATGTAATATTTTTTGCATCCAAGAAACTGTCTAATTTTAACTATCTTATTATTTGCTCTATCTATGAATAATATTGCCTGCTGCTATCATCTGCAACACTCACTACTTCTTCATAGTATTCCTACTATCACTTCTTATCCTGGAGGCATCTGGCCTCTTTTTTAAATGTTCCATCAGCTATTGCTGGAGGGCAATCCTGTGGATTACGCTATACCTGATTATTATAAAAGAAATATAAACACTGAAAAAACTATATGGTTTGTAGAGAAATTATACATGAATCTTGATCCTCAAAGCTGTATGCTATTATGTTTTCCTAGAACCGTCTCAAGCGTGCCTTCAATAGTAAGGCGTGCAAGTATTTCATCAGACAATGGAACGGAAGGTGAAGCAAACCAAGATACAAATGCAGAGACAGTTCTCCTGATGAAAATCAAACACCTACTCAAGCACCTGTGGTATGTTTCTTTCAAAAATGTCACAATTGTCATGTCACAATCACTCTCTTGTTGACACCTTCAAAAATGGCAGCTGGTGTTGGTGCAGTGACATATTTGTAGAAAAACATAATCTGTATTCTCATTAAATTTACAGGAAAATATAGATAAGAGAGTCCAGTCAAGTTCCACCACCTATCGAATACGCCGTCCTTAGCATGAGCCTCCTATTGAAGAATATTTAATCGCCTACTTGAAGAATTGAAAAAACAATCGCAAGCTTCTGCCTCACAAGTAGATGATGAATTCTTGAATATCTCAGACCCTGATGTGATGTTTTGCAGAATGTTACTGTCTGTAATCAGAGAGTTCCCTCCTGATAAGCGTGCTGAAGTTAAAGGAGATTTATATGCATATATTATGTTCATAGTTTCCACTTGCAAAGAACAATGCCCATTTCCTAGATTTCAGCCCTGGGCATTGGGTTTTAATACACCTAGTGGCTCTAAGTCACTACCCAGCCATCATTGTTATGATACTACACCTGCCATGAGCCACCCTACTCAGGGCCCCTACTGATGTACACACCTTTACAATCTAATCAGGGTTTTCAAAGAATACATGAGCAGCCAAACCCATGTCATCCACCCTCATCTTTATCCTCCCCATCTGATTCACCCATAGATGTTGGCAGGGAACCTAGTAATTCTTCTATACATTCCCCTTACCCAGTTTATGAACACATAGTTTTTTTTATTGCTTCTAATTTGTTATTTATATGCCTGTTTTATTTTTATATTGTGGTTAATTTGACTGATAACTTTGCTGTAAGTAACTAATCCAACTTC